GGTACACAATTAAAATTGTGTACCAGTTTAACGTTGAATATTATTTATGATTTTAACTCAATATTACATTTACCTTACTAAAAACATGTTCTTTTTCTGTTTCTAGTCAGATGTTTGGTCATTAGGCTGCTGTTTGTATGAAATGGCAACCCTTAGACACGCCTTTAATGCTCAAAACTTGAATTCCCTGATGTACAAAGTATTGCAAGGAAAGGTAAAGCTAAGTGAAGAAAATGGAATGAAATAAAACAATACTATCTGAATTAAAAAGTGATAAGCCATAGTATATAGTAAACGATACATGATAATAATTGTATGGGAGGTCTTGTTTGTTTGAAAACTGTTTTTTTTTGTCCTAACTTATTGTATGAAGACATATTGATAAAATCTATTTATTGGCAGTAGTAAAATTTTGTCTAAAATTAACCAAATATATTTAACTTAAAAGTTTTGATGTATATATTTATATTTTTTAATAATAACAAACAGCATATTTTATCAGTTGAAAATTGGTTTTAGTTTTCCACAAGTTTTGTAATTGTAAACTTTGAGAAACAAAAAGCCTTTAGAGTTAAGACATTGTCGTGCTCTTCATAAATATCCTGGCTAACTCGATACGCATTTGCTGAGATTGTCAAATAGCTGGTTTCATTTCTTGTTCTCACCAGCCCAGTCTGTATTTTTAATCTGCTTACTCTTCATATAGTTGCCTCCAATGCCAAAACATTACAGCCTAGAACTTCAAGCATTAATTAAATCCATGTTAAGCTGTTGTCCTGAACATAGACCTAGCATTAGGCAGATACTGGAGAATGAATATATTCATAAACATATGGAAATATTTCTGGAAGAAACTAAGAGCAGGTTTGTCAATAAGATTTGTTTTATTTTTACTTGAAAAACTTCTTCTAAAAGCATCATTACAGATTTCTTAGAATTGATGTAAAACTTAAAAGATTCTTTGGGTAATGTTCAACCAGTTTATCTAATCTCATTCAGACATTTTTATTATATTTAGTGTTTGTTGCCAGTTAGTAGCATAAGACTCTATATAATCTTACCTTTGACATCACTAACAAACATCCACCAGATTCAGTCAGCTCTGAACAACAAGTTCTACTGAAACTATAAATAACAACCTTTTTGGCCCTGACAGTGAATATGTCAATATTAACTAACTGTGAATTTTTATTGCATGTTGAGAGCTGTCTAGAGCAAGTAATAATACATTATTTGAACTTAGCTACAATTTGCCAAGTGGAGGTGGCTGAATCTGTAAGTAATAATCTCTTTGATCATTGATAGTATTTCCTAGCTAGGATTCACTTTACCTGTAGACAGTATTCTGTTTGCTAGTTAGAGTTAACTGTTGTTACAAATAATAATCTGTTTGGAAAAGGATAGTATTTCCTAGTCAGAGCTGGTTGAAGCTGTATATAACAATCTGAACCTGGAAAGAATAATCTGTTTAGACCTGGTAAATATTGAATGTCTAGGACTGGCTGAAGTTTTAGATAATAATCTGTTTGGAGTTGGATAATGTTGGCTAGTCAAAACAAACTAGATCTTTTGATAAAAATTAGTTTAATCTTTGTTAATATTTGCTCACCAAAATAAGTTGATCATCGTTAGTATTTGTTTCTCAGGGCTGACAGGAACTGTAAATTATAACTTTCTTGGATGTAGTTAATGTTTGCTAGTAGAGCTGGCTAAACCCTTTAATAATTTTTCTTTATGTGTGTGTGAGGGAGATAATTTATTTAGCATGTTAGAGACGATAGGAACTGTTGATAATAATAAATTTGGCCTGTTGATGTTTTTGATCAAAGCTAACTGGACCTGTTAAATTTTAATAGGTTGATTCATTTTCTAAACACCCCCTGATCTAACCCATGATGTAAGTGTTTAATAATATAGGTTTTATAATTGTTTTGATGCAGTCTAGTGATACAAATTAGTATTTTTTTTTCCTTTAGTGTACAGGTAATGGTAATTTAGCTGTTTATATATTTACAGTGTAATATCTACTACAAGTTAATTTTTCTGTATGTTTGTATTTCTTCAAAAGGGAAGTTTTCTTGTGCCTGATTCTCTCAAAAAAAAAAGTTTTTCTTGTGTAACTTTTATCAATAAAATTATAAGTGAATGAATTTGATATTAGCTAAATTATTAATCATGTTAGACTTTGGTAATGTTAAGTCAAAAGCTCTTGTAATTTACCTGTGGTGTGTACCTTATGTAATTTTAATTGTAAAGCCTGTCCCAGTGTTTCTTTTTTGCATAATTTGATTGAAATGTTTTTTACTATGAAATAATTGTTTTTCACATGTTGGACTAACATTATTTTCAGAATTTTCAACTAACATAATAGTTTAATGAAAATTAAAATTTCCCATCTGGATTATGAGTAATTTTTATTTTTATTTCATCTTCAGGAGCAAAGGTTCTAAAAAAATAACTAATGCTTCAGAGAGCAAGATCTGTGATGATTTTAAAAATCAGAATAGTGTGTCGCATGAAAAAGTGGGCGATGATAAAGCTTTCAGTTTTGTGAATCCAAATAAAACAGGTAAAAAAACACTGTCTATTAAGCAGTGTGAAGAAAAGTCATGTGTAGTAAAAGTGTGTAGTACTTATACCGTTGAAAGTAGTTCTCATTTGGGGTCATCCACTCAAAACCATTGTGTTGAAAAAACTAATTTAATGAAATCTTTAGCTTCCACAATGCATGAAAACAGAACAGAAACTACTAGCTTAGAAAAAGTAACCTGTGAAAATAGAACAGAAACTTGTGACTTAGAAAAAGTAACCTGTGAAAATAGAACAGAAACTTCTGGCTTAGAAAACGTAACCTGTGAAAATAGAACAGAAACTTGTGGCTTAGAAAACGAAACCTGTGAAAATAGGACAGAAACTTGTGGCTTAGAAAACGTAACCTGTGAAAATAGGACAGGAACTTGTGGCATAGAAAAAGTAACCTGTGAAAATAGAACCGAAACCTGTGGCTTAGAAAACGTAACCTGTGAAAATAGGACAGGAACTTGTGGCTTAGAAAACGTAACCTGTGAAAATAGGACAGGAACTTGTGGCTTAGAAAACGTAACCTGTGAAAATAGGACAGGAACTTGTGGCATAGAAAAAGGAACCTGTGAAAATAGAACAGAAACCTGTGGCATAGAAAAAGTGACCTGTGAAAATAGAACAGAAACTTGTGGCTTAGAAGAAGTAACCTGTGAAAATAGGACAGAAACTCATGGTTTAGGAAAAGTAACTTATGAAAGTGAAGACAAAAAATGTGAGTCAAATTTATATAAAGAGTCAGATAAAATTATAGAAAATTCAAGTGCATTTGTAAGATGTAAACAAGAAAAAGATTATGTTCATGCTGACTTAAGAGATAATGTGAACACTAGAGAATTGTGTGTAAGAAGACAGGAAACACTTAATGATCAAAGACCATTTCATCATAGAGTAAAAGCTTTAGAATTGCCAGATCGTATAGAAAAAGATTCACGTATTAAAGAAGAAACTGTCAGTATTCAACAACCTACTAAAATAAACATTAGATTAAGTGTTGAACCTCGACATAGGCGACGATGCCAAAAAGACACAAGGTCTGCAGTGATAACTAATCTGGACAGAACCTCATCTCATATAACTAATAGTGAAACAGGAAAACATAAAATCCAGGAAAACACAACTGTGAGAAAAAGTATATCTCAGAGTGCTAGTGAAGAAATTAACAACTCCAGTCAACAAAGTCCAGAAATTACCAGAACATTTGTTGTTTTCAAAGAAACTGTTTCACCGAAGGATTCTCGTAAGCTTGTTATTTCATCAACAAAACAATCACCTATGTACTGTCACAGTGAGAAAATACGTAATGCTCCAGAGTCATACAATAAAGAACTTGATATTGAAAACATGTATTCTAAAAAAGGTCAGGATATTTTTAATTTTACATCTGATATAAAATTTAGAAATTCCAACAAGGTTATTGAAAGCAGATTAGATACTTCAACTTCAGACCCTAATTTAAGTGTTGAGAATCTGTTCATGCAAGTCAAGGATTTGGCAGGTATCACACATGATCAAGAGTTTCATAGAAACCAATCTTTTGAAGATTTTGCAGAGCACACAAAAAACAAGCCTCCTTTACCCCATAGTCATGAAATCTCCTATAAAAGTCCAGGTAGAACTAGAAATGAAGGGAATGGTGTGACCCTATTGCCTCAGGTAACTTCTGCTAATGACTGTTTTTATAGGGTAAGATCAATTCTCTTTATTTATCTTGCCATATGAGAAAAGATTTTTAATGGTTTGCATATTGTTGAATTTATAATACATTTTAATTTGTTGTCCAAAGTTGAAATCTCAAAAGTTTTAAAAAATATCTTAATAACATTGAAAATAAATAAATAAAAGGAAAACATAGAAAACCTAATAACCAGACTAGGGTTAAGTTAAAAACAATATTACCCAAGCAATTAAAAAGGTTTTAGACTGTATTAATAGAATTGTATTGGTTATGGTATAGAGAAAATTATCTGGGCCTCGACCTTTGCCAACTCGACCTACCTTGCATGATAACAGCAGACCAAACCAGAATGAATTCAATGATGTATCACAGTACATCAATTATCCGAGCACATCAAATTTGCGAAGAAGACGTTCCAGAAAGGGAGAAGAAGCTTTTAAACAAATGCATGAACCATCCCATGTAATTACCAGTGATAGAGCAAATGAGGACAAAATTCCTGCTCAGTCTTTTGTAAAGGTAATGAGACTTTATGGCAATTGTTCCAGCTCAGTCTTTTGTAAAGGTAATGAGACTTTATGGCAATTGTTCCAGCTCAGTCTTTTGTAAAGGTAATGAGACTTTATGGCAATTGTTTCAGCTCAGTCTTTTGTAAAGATAATGAGACCTCTTGAGAAGAATGATCTTTTTTTTATTTTCTTCAAAATTTTTGTGTAAATTTGACAGCTGTTCTTTATGAATGTGTAATGGTAAAAAATATAGATGTGGAATGACAATTAATAAAATCAATTTTGAAATTCTCCAAGAGAAATGGAATACGTTTTTTTAAAACATAATCACTACCATTACCAAATACTTTACAAAATATTTATGTAACTTTTGATCTAGGATCTAGAGAAGGATAGATCTGTTTATTGTTTCACCTCTGCCAGAATGTTGTAACCTTAAAAGAATATATATGCATTTTTAGCTATTGGGAAAAGTAGAGATACGATACCTTATTTTATGAAAAAAACTAGCCCTGTAGATCCAATTCGGCTGCTCGACAACGAAGGCGGGAGAAACATGGAAAGCAGAAGAGTGAAGAGAAACTACTTCCTAATCTCATGTCAGATAGAAAACTGGGATCAATATCTTCAAGAAATAATATATGCCCTTCTTCAGAAGAACAGGTCTCACATTGCATTATCAATACTTTTAGGCTCTTTGTTCTGATTGGTTGATAAATGTCTTTTATAATAGAATTGTTAATTTGAAAAGAGCTTTCTGTTAACCATGCACACAAGTTTGCTTTATCTATAAAATTTAAACCGATCAATATAATGCTGTGTTCTAATCGGTTTAAAAGCTTGTGGTACTGTACATTTATTAGTTTGAGATAACTAGATTAATTGTGACTTCTGATATGATGTGTAATCTCACCTCACATTTAGCTTTCACAATTCAGTGCTACCCTCTATATGCAAACTTTTTTGTTTGCCACTAACCTTGAGGATTCCATCTAATTTCACACATTTCCATGTGATATTGTTGCATGTAAGTAAGCATGTGACACCCTCCACCAGTAGGAGTGTGATACTGCTTCCTAGCACAGCTGGCTTCCTCTATTATGATGTTTCAGTAGTCACTTCTCAATCAAACTTGTGTTAAGACGTGTCTTTTTTTTACTAGCATGATATTTCTCAACATCAATGTTTAGTTAAGTATCTACAAGAACCAACTGTTGTCGAAGAAATATTTTTTATTTTCAAACTTTTCTAACTGCACACTTTGTGGCTCTGAGTTTCCATAATGTGAATTACACAGAAAAATTTCCACACTCTTAGTGTTGAATATCTGGACTTTTTCACTCTAGACAGGCTATCACAATGGCAATGGGTGCTTCATTGTCAGTCCAGGGACGTGACAGCTGTTGTGCAGCAGGTGGTGAAGTCTTTCATGTGACCTGGGCTTTTTTCAGCCTTGACACAGATTTCTCTCCTCCTTTAATTCCTGTCCAGGATGATATAGATTTTAGGCAGTCCCTTCTTGCTGCCTAAGTTTGCAAACAATTCTTCCAGTGCAGACGTGGATCTACCTTGACATTCTGCATTTTTCCATGACTTTTTTCTTAAGTGTTTTCTTTTTTCACTCTCTCCTATTTCTTATTATTCTTTACTTTCCCTAATTCATTTGGCTTCTTCTTCAGAATATTATATTTTTCCTCCTTCCCTTGATATCCTTGAATACCCCTGTGTCCTGTCTTTCTCAAGCTCCTCCTCTTCCAGTTGCTGTCTCCTATCCTTTCAACTTCTTTCGACTCCTTCTTCTTCCATCCCATTTCTCTTTTCTCATCTGTTCTTCCACTATCCATAGGCTGTAGTGCTGACAGTCTTATTGGCTCAGGAACAGTGGGGGGCCCATTTGGCTACATTTGTGGATCTATGGATTCCTGCTCCTTTCCCTGTCTCTCATCAGCATCTCTCAAAGACAATGTCAGACCTTTTGGCCAAGGATGCTATCAAAGGGGTTTCTCACCCTTCTCTGGGATTTTATTCCCACATGTTTGTCATTCTCATACACTGGAGATTGGCATACGGTCATCATTCTGTCCCATCTCCATCAGTTTCTTGACCTTCCTTAGTTTACCGTGCTGACTTTTCTCACCCACCAATGGTGTTTTTCTCTGGGGCTTTGGATGACCAAGGTTGATTTCTCTGATGCTTATTTTCACATTCCCACCTTCCCAACATCCAGGTTTTATTTTTGGTCTGTACATTACATATAAGTTAATCAGTTCTGCATGCCTTCGATTGTCACATTTGTGGCTTATTATTAAAGTTCCACCATGTATGGAAGACTGGCTTCTTTTAGCTCCATCCCAACAGGACTCCTCCAACCATACTCTTCTCCTTCTTTGTCAAGTAGCTAGTCAAGCGAGAGATGCCTCATCTCACATCCAGTCAGTATCTGATTCATTCGGATATGTTCTTCACTTCCTGTCTCATCAGGGCACAGCCTTCTCCTTTGCATTTGTGGGCCATAGAGAATTTGGTTTTCTTCTCTTCTTGCATGAGAATTTACCTATTAGAGACTTGGATTTCCTTGGAATACCTTTTCCCCATAGATTGTGCTCATCTGCATCTTTTGCTGTAGATGTTTTACAATCATTAGAACCTCTCTTTTTCTGGAATGGTCCCTCGCTTTTTGTGTTTTTTGTGGTTTTGCTATCATCTGGGCACTTCTCACATCAATACCTTTGCCTCTTAAAACAGTGCCAAGCTTCCCCCTATTTAGTTCTCCTATTCCACATACATTGTCAGTGTTGACATATGCATTCAGTCATTAATTTCTTTGTGCTTATCCCTGTTCATCTCCTCCCTTGAATTCTCTCTATCATTTGAGACACTCCTTGTCTGGTCCTTCTCGTGGTGCCCTATTGGCTAGTCCAGTCTTGGTTTCCTCTGTTGAGTCTTCTGACTTCCTCCCCTTCTCTTACACTCTCCTGCTCCCATCTTCATCAGTTTCATTTTTTTTTTCCATCCAACCACATCATCATTCTAGCTTCACACGTGGGATTTGTCCAGTTGCTTGCCAGTACTCCTTAGAAGTTTATTCACAGAAATGGCATATTTATTGCTGCTGGTCTTGATGTTCATCTTTCTCACTTCTTATCCTTCCATTCCCCATCTATCTGTGTTCTTCACATAGCTTTTTAACCAGGGCTTTTTTATCTCAACTATTGCTGGTTACCAGGTGCCTCTCTGGACTACTTTCCAGTTTTCCCATTATGGCATGTATATTTCCCTTCCAATTGTTCTAGCCTACCTGACTGGAGCTTTAATCTTGTTCTCCATGCCCTTATCCTACCTCCTTTGAACTTTTGGTTTCCTGTTCCTTATACCATCTGTCCCTTAAAACTTATTTCCTACTCCTCATATATAGCCATCAGTGTTTTCATGTGTATGCCATCGATTCTTCTTGCACTATATTCCAACACTTCTATATCCGGTGTGCATAGGGTAATATTGCATTTACCCTTATATTTCTTTTGTACATTCGCATCTTTACTCCCATTGACATCCTGACCACTTCCTCTGTTCTAGCATGTGGATGACCCCTCATACCTTTGTGGCACACTATTTCTATCATCTGGCCATTTCTTCCTCATCAGGCTATGGACTGTCTCTGCTCACTATTCATTACACACATCATACCATCTCTGACTAGGCAAGTCTTTTTTTTTTTACCCTCTTTTTATAGAGCCCTTTAATCCTTTACAGGATCCTGCTCAATGTCCAGAGTATACTTAACCAAAATCCACACGGTGTAGGGCCATCCTGATATAGTGCTCACCCATAAAATGGGATGTTCCATAAGACCACTCGAGGTATCCTCGTACTACAAATTTTTGTAACCAAGGCCTGATCCAGACAGTACCTACTCATGAACTAGCAGGAGTAAAGCAGACAGGGGATTCCTGCCCATCCTCCATACCTAGATTAAAGCCTAGTGCTGGCCTGCTTTTAAAATTTGGGTTTATGTGGTTACCCATTACACTGTATTATGGTGATACACTCCTCCAGATTCCCACATTTTCTTTTAATGAAGCATGTGAGTCTTTGCCACTCATCCATTCCTAGCTGCTGGGGTTGTGGATCATGATGGATGCCTCTTGGGTGTGACCAGTTCCACTTTGTAAAGAATAGGGCAGTGGTGTTCACCCTCTGGCTGGCTCCCCCCCCTCCTACTGCTGGGTGATCTGGTGTATTTTTGAACAGATGAGGTGCAGTCTGTCGTGAGTATGCCCCTGTACTATTCCAAGGTAGAGAGTGTTGCACTCCATGGGTTCTTCCCAAACGTGGCTCTTCTAGGCAACATTTTGCACCAGTTCCTTCACCACTTCAACATAATATTCTAGCTAGATGTGAATGAAGGTTATGTATTATATCAAAAGTTAACATTTCCAACATTGAAATGTACTTCCGGTAGATACACTTCCCACCTTTTCTCTCCACTTCCAGTGCATCTTATTCTATTGCTTATTCTCAAAGTTATGATTGAACAACCAATATAAGGAAACTAACTGTGTTAAGAAGCGGTGTCATACTCCTGTAGGCAGAGGGTTGCTGCATGCCCATTTGCATCAATGTCATGTGGAAATACGTGAGATTAGTTTGTTTTTCCTTCTAGCTAGTTTTATTTTGTAAACAATTACTGGTAATATGGTTTTAACACCTAGGCTGTAGAAATTTGACTTTTTAGATTTAGATGCCTTTTTCTTTAGGTTAAAGAAAAGAAATATTTGGATTTTTTTTAACGTAGGTTGAGGTTACCAGAAACAAGCAAAGCCTCAAAGTAGAAGATATCAGTTGTGTGAGTAGCTGTGCTGGAGATGAAGAGAAAGGGTGAGAGCAAGTGACACTTGTACTGGGTGTCAGACATTGATGTTATGTCTAATCCTATGTCTTGATACCCATTATGATAATTATATTTGTAATATGAACAGTTATAATCATCAAATAATACAGTATCATTCCTTTAAAATATCTTTAAATTAGAGAGAACCATGAACATTTGTACATGAATGTACTTTTCCTCCTCAGTATTATTAATTTAGGAAAAACCATGTTTACCAGACTCTAAGGTAGAGAAAGAATCATGTATTTCAGACTATCCACCCTCATGAATTTAAGAGAAACCTGAATTATTTATTTGGGCATATTATGAGAACTTGTAGGTGATTCTAAAGTATGTAATAACCACACTCTCGGCTATATCCAGTGCTGACGAGGCATTTTGCCCAATATTAAGTTAGTGTTTCTGATAATTACCATTTTAGATTATCTCAACTATCCAAGTAACCGAACTATTTCTGTTATGATTTCTCATTATTTTTTATTAATTCAGGATTGTTCAGCTTAACTGATTACTATTGTGACTCATGAAAATAATAAAGTAATTGAAATTACTGTTTTGGTTATTAATTACTATTTTAATTATTTTAACTATTCAAGTCTCTAGAGTAATTGATTAGTTGAAAGTAATTAACTAATGAGCCAGATGATCAAATTCCACTAATCATCCAGTTCTATTCACAAAACATACTGTGAGATCGTAAAAAATTTGGAAGTGAGGCTGAACTAATAAAATCAGAGAAAAATAAGGAAATAAACAAAAGCATAAGAATTCCATTCTCAGGGGATGATACTTTGTTAACTTCTATTTTGGGATGGGCAGGAAATTCTAAAAAATCAACAAATGCATTGTTTAATGATGAGGCTCCTTGGAGCTGGACAGAAAGATAAGTTTGAATTTTTTTTTCATTTTCCTTATGGAATTACATTATGTAAATGCTACAAAAATGGCAAAATATTCGTTTTAAAATATTTTGAGCAAACAATTGTTGAAATAGAGTTAGAATTATTATCTTTACTTAAATTAGATATACAGATGTGCATTTGACACATGAAATAGAATTATGTAGAAGTTTTCAAATTCGATGATGAGGAACCCACTTTGAGACTAATAATGATTGGAGATGGCTTGAATGGGTAATGAAGAAAAACTTTAATATTAGTTTAACACAACAGCAAATGTACAACATTTCAATAAGGTTTTGATACCTGATGATGACAAAACTTTGTTGAAACGTTGTACATT